TTATTATTATATATTATTATTATACAGGATTTATATTATTATTATATTATTATACAGGATTTATATTATTATTATTATTATTATTCACAGGATTTATATTTATATTATTATATTATACAGGATTTATATTATTATTATTATTATTATTCAGGATTTATATTATTATTATTATTATACAGGATTTATTATTATTATTATTATTATTATTATTATTATTATACAGGATTTATATTTATTATACAGGATTTATTATTATACAGGATTTATATATTATTATTATTATTATTATTATTCAGGATTTATATTATTATTATTATACAGGATTTATATATTATTATTTATATATATTATTATTATACAGGATTTATATTAATTATTATTATTATTATTATTCAGGATTTATATTATTATTATTATTATACAGGATTTATATTATTATTATTATACAGGATTTATATTATTATTATTTTTATATATTATTATTATTACAGGATTTATATTATTATTATTATACAGGATTTATATATTATTATACAGGATTTATATTATTATTATACAGGATATTATTATTATTTTATATTAATATTTTATATTATTATTATACAGGATTATATTATTATTATTATTATTATACAGGATTTATTATTATTATTATTATTATTACAGGATTTATATTATTATTATTATACAGGATTTATATTATTATTATTATTATACAGGATTTATATTATTATATTATAGGATTTATATTATTATTATTATTTATACATTTATATTATTATTATTATACAGGATTTATATTATTTATTATTATTATTATACAGGATTTATAAATATTATTATTATTATTATACAGGATTTATATTTATTATTATTATTATATTAGGATTATACAGGATTTATATTATTATTATTATTACAGGATTTATATTATATTATTATATTATTATTATTATACAGGATTTATATTATATTATTATTATTATATTATACAGGATTATATATTATTATTATTATTATACAGATTTATATTATTTATTATTATTATTATACAGGATTATATTATTATTATTATTATACAGGATTTATATTATTATTATTATTATTATTATACAGGATTTATATTATTATATTATTATACAGGATTTATATTATTATATTATACAGGATTTATGTAGCCCCAACAGTTTGCTCAGCGCTTTACAATATAACGGGAGACAATCCAGCAACAATACGTTTAGTAACACTTTGTAATGAATGTGACTTTAGTACTCTATTAAAGCGTATAACTGCATTAGTGTGAACCCCAGGGCTCACAGCATTATATTATTTTACTATTTTGTGCCAGATTTCCTTTTTATAATAAAAGAACGAGGTGTCTAGTACTCTTTCCCACCAAATGAAAGCCCAATTTGTCTTGTTAATAAGAAAAAAAAAAAAGGTATCGATCCGCTGGGTAGTAGTTGTGACACTATGCAGTTTTACTATCACATGTCAAAGTTGCAAATCTGTTCATGTGTTGTGATTTGTTTCCCCTTTGCAATGAAGGAGTTAATGATATAGTCGCAGGTTTTTTAGCATTTATACTATTCCACAATTTTTTTTTAAAATGCTGGGAATTTATTTATGCAGAACAGTCTATGGAAAATCAGTGATTGCTATGTATGTATATGTGTATATACGGTGTAGCGATGCCCAGGGGGCGTCCCTAGTGCAATAACACTTGGTGACACCCCCTCCAACGATCCCCGCAGAATGGATCTCATCTGCTGATTAAGCATAATGGATTGGAGTCCGATCCATTATGCTCCCCAATCCGCAGATCTGATCCATCCTGCGGGGATCGTTGGAATGCATCCTGTACGGGGTGACACCGGACCCGCTCCATGAAAAGGTAAGTTGTAAAGCATGCCGACAATCCCCGCAGGATGGATCAGATCTGCGGATTGGGGAGCATAATGGATTGGACTCTGATCCATTATGCTCAATCCGCAGATCCGATCCATTCTGTGGGGATTGTCAGCATGCAACCTATACGGGGTGACACCGGACCTGCTCCACGAAAAGGTAAGTTGTAAAGCAAGCCGACAATCCCCGCAGGATGGATCGGATCTGCGGATTGGGGAGCATAATAGATCGCACTCCGATTCATTATGCTCAATCCGTAGATCCGATCCATCCTGCGGGGATCGTCGGCTTGCTTTACAACTTACCTTTTCGTGGAGCAGGTCCGGTGTCACCCCGTATAGGTTGCATGCTGACGATCCCCCCAGGATTGATGGGATCTGCGGATTGGGGAGCATAATGGATCAGACTCCGATCCATTATGCTCAATCCGCAGATCCCATCCATCCTGCTGGGATCGTCGGCTTGCTTTACAACTTACCTTTTCGTGGAGTGAGTCCGGTGTCACCCAGTGCGGTAGGTGTCACCCGGTGCGGTGCACACCCCCCGCACCTGCCTAGGGACGCCATGCCCATGTTTATGCGATCCTCAGTGTTTGTGTGCATAGTGATTATCTGCAGAGGGGCAGAGGGCTTTTCTTATCAGTGGACAGAGGGAGTGGTTATCAGTGTTGGTTAACAATGCACTTAACCCTTAGGATACCATATCTCCAACCACAACACCCCGTAGCTATTAACCACTGGACCTCTGGGCCTTTTTCTGACACCTTTTTTTTACATGTAAAAATCTTGTAGCAGTCAGACATCACTAACCGGATCAATCTCTGTTTTTGGTAGAAATTATATTTCTACATGGCAAATAATTTCCTAGCAGGTGTAGTAAATAGAAATCCAACAGACCCAACAGTCATGACATGCATGCTGCTGATTCTGTGTCATTGAATCACTCATTGAAAGGGGCATGTTCAAAATAATAGCCGTGTGGAGTTCTATTAGTGAGGTCATTCATTCTTTGAAAAACAGGTGGCAATTATTGCCCTTATTTAAGGAAGGAAGGCAGCAAATGTTTGACATGCTGGTTACAGTGCATTTCTCTCTGAAATTCTGAGGAAAATGGGTCGTTCCAGACATTGTTCAGAAGAACAGCGTACCTTGATTAAAAAGTTGATTGGAGAGGGGAAAACATATAAAGAAGTGCAGAAAATGATCGGCTGCTCAGCTAAAATGATCGCAAATGCTTTAAAATGGCAACCAAAACCTGAAAGACGTGGAAGAAAGTGAAAAACTACCATTCAAATGGATAGAAGAATAGCCAAAATGGCAAGGACTCAGCCAACAATCAGCTCCAGGAAGATGAAAGAAGGTGTGACGTTCCCTGTGAGGACTGTTACAATTAGAAGACGCCGATGTGAAGCCAAGCTATCTGCAAGAAGTCCCCGCAAAGTCCCACTGTTGGAAAAAAGACGTGCTGAAGAGGTTACAATTTGCCAAAGAGCACATTGACCGGCCTAAAGGGAAATGGCGCAACATTTTTGTGGACTGATGAAAGTAAGATTGTTCTTTTTGGGTCTAGTGGGCGGAGACAGTTTGTCAGACGACCCCCAAACACTGAATTCAAGCCACAGTACACTGTGAAGACAGTGAAGCATGGTGGTGCAAGCATCATGATATGGGGGATGTTTCTCATACTATGGTGTTAGGCCTATTTATCACATACCAGGGATCATGGATCAGTTTGAATACATCAGAACACTTGAAGAGGTCATGCTGCCTTATGCTGAAGAGGAAATGCCCTTGAAATGGGTGTTCCAACAAGACAACGACCCCAAACACACCAGTAAACGTGCAACATCTTGGTTCCAGACCAACAAAATTGACGTTATGGAGTGGCCAGCCCAATCCCCGGATCTTAATCCAATAGAAGACTTGTGGGGTGACATCAAAAATGCCGTTTCTGAGGCAAAACCAAGAAATAGAGAAGAACTGTGGAATGTCGTCCAATCATCCTGGGCTGGAATACCTGATCACAGGGGCCAGAAGTTGGGTGACTCCATGCAACACAGAGTACAGCAGTTCTCAGAAACAGTGCGACTACAACCAAATATTCATGAAGTCATTCAAAGGAAAGCAAAATCTTCAAATATTTTTTTTCAGTTTATATAGTGAATGTTTGAGTTTGTAAAGAAGAATACAAACACTGCGATTTTTTTGAACCGTCTAATATTCACTTTTCTTCAATTTTTTTTAGAGGAACAACACAAATTTGATCTATTTTTCTTCATGTTATGATTTGGAATAGAATGTGTCGTGTTCCCAATGCATTTGTGTGGATGGAAAAAAAAGCTATTAGAAGGATTTTCAGCTTTATTCACTTTTTTCAACACACTGCTATTATTTTGAACACAACTGTAGATACCATACCTGTGAGATCCCTGGAAGGTGGAAACCATTGAAGTAGACACCCGCTACTCCAGGGATCTCCACTTGCTTCCAGGTCCCGTGTTGAGTGGTCCTGCAGACTATTCCTTCAGCCCCAGATCCACACCAGCTCCAGGTCCTTCAGACTATTTCTCCAGCTCCATGTCCACAGTTGCCCCAGGTTAAGCAAACTATTCTTCAAGCCCCAGGTAAAGCAGATTATTTTTTTCAGCCCCAGGTCCACAACACCCCCTGGTAAAGGATACTTTTCCTCCTGCCCCAGGTCCATACCAGCCCCTGGTCAAGCATACTATTCCTCTAGTCCCAGGTCCACCTTAGCCCCAGGCTCTGCAAACTATACTTCTACCCTCAGGTCAAGCAGACTGCTCCTTCAGTCCCAGGACCATACCAACCCCAGTCTTTGCAGACTATGTCATCCAGCCCCCCAGGTTCACATCAGTCCCAGGTCCATGCTAAAGTACTGACCTTCAGTTATGAAGCTGAAGGAAGTATTAATGGACTACAAGTATGGTCATTTTATTTGTTTCTCACTGTCGTTGAATAAATGTCATAATTCAACTATTTGGTACAGGTTATCTGTCATAATTTGTATTTTTAAAGCTGATTTATGGAAAGCGCTATGGCCCATGGTGGAAATCAAAAATCGGCAACTACAAAATGGTGTGCATCAACGACCCGACCATCTTGGAGAAGGTGGTGCGAGAGGAGGGCAAATATCCACTTCGAAATGAGCTCGACCTGTGGAGGACCCACCGAGAAATGCGCAGTCTGGCCTATGGACCGTTCACTGAGTGAGTTCATAGAGGATCAGGTATCACAGCACCAGAATCACTATACGGAGGCATACCAGTGTAATGTACCGCAGAGTAAGATACACTGTATGGAGGCATACCACTGTAATCTACACAGGGTCAGATTCACTATACGGAGGCATACCAGTGTAATGTACAGCAGAGTCAGATTCACTATATGGAGGCATACCACTGTAATCTACAAAGGGTCAGATTCACTATACGGAGGCATACCAGTGTAATGTACCGCAGGGTCAGATTCACTATATGGAGGCATGCCAGTATAATGTACCGCAGAGTAAGATTCACTATATGCAGGCATACCACTGTAATCTACACAGGGTCAGATTCACTATATGGAGGCATACCAGTGTAATGTACCGCAGAGTAAGATACACTGTATGGAGGCATACCACTGTAATCTACACAGGGTCAGATTCACTATACGGAGGCATACCAGTGTAATGTACACAGGGTCAGATTCACTATATGCAGGCATACCACTGTAATCTACACAGGGTCAGATTCACTATACGGAGGCATACCAGTGTAATGTACCACAGAGAGTAAGATTCACTATATGGAGGCATACCACTGTAATCTACACAGGGTCAGATTCACTATACGGAGGCATACCAGTGTAATGTACAGCAGAGTCAGATTCACTGTATGCATGCATACCACTGTAATCTACACAGGGTCAGATTCACTATATGGAGGCATACCAGTATAATGTACAGCAGGGTCAGATTCACTATACGGAGGCATACCAGTGTAATGTACCGCAGAGTTAGATTCACTATATGGAGGCATACCACTGTAATCTACACAGGGTCAGATTCACTATATGGAGGCATACCACTGTAATCTACACAGGGTCAGATTCACAATACAGAGGCATACCAGTGTAATGTACCGCAGGGTCAGATTCACTATATGGAGGCATGCCAGTTTAATGTACCGCAGGGTCAGATTCACTATATGGAGGCATACCAGTGTAATGTACCGCAGGGTCAGATTCACTATATGGAGGCATGTCAGTATAATGTACCTCAGGGTCAGATTCACTTTATGGAGGCATGCCAGTACAATGTACCGCAGGGTCAGATTCACTATATGGAGGCATGTCAGTATAATGTACCTCAGGGTCAGATTCACTTTATGGAGGCATGCCAGTACAATGTACCACAGGGTCAGATTCACTATATGGAGACATACCAGTGTAATATATCTCTGGGTCAGATTCATTATATGGAGGCAAACCAGTGTAATGTACCGCAGGGTCAGATTCATTAGATGGAGGCAAACCAGTGTAATGTACCGCAGGGTCAGATTCATTAGATGGAGGCAAACCAGTGTAATGTACCGCAGGGTCAGATTCACTATATGGAGACATACTAGAGTAATGTGCCATAGGGTCAGATTCACTATATGGAGGCATACCAGTGTAATGTACAGCAGGGTCAGATTCACTATATGGAGGCATACCAGTGTAATGTACAGCAGGGTCAGATTCACTATATGGAGGCATACCAGTATAATGTACCGCAGGGTCAGATTCACTATATGGGGGCATACCAGTATAATGTACCGCAGGGTCAGATTCACTATATGGGGGCATGTCAGTATAATGTACCGCAGAGTCAGATTCACTATATGGGGGCATGTCAGTACAATGTACCAGAGGGTCAGATTCACTATATGGAGACATACTAGCGTAATGTGCCATAGGGTCAGATTCACTATATGGAGGCATACCAGTGTAATATAACACAGGGTCAGATTCATTATATGGTGGCAAACAAGTGTAATGTACGATAGGGTCAGATTCATTATATGGAGGCATACCAGTGTAATGTACCATAGGGTCAGATTCCCTATATGGAGGCAAACCAGTATAATGTACCATAGGGTCAGATTCACTTTATGGAGGCATGCCAGTACAATGTACCACAGGGTCAGATTCACTATATGGAGACATACTAGCGTAATGTGCCATAGGGTCAGATTCACTATATGGAGGCATACCAGTGTAATATATATCTGGGTCAGATTCATTATATGAAGGCAAACCAGTATAATATACCATAGGGTCATATTCCTTATATGGAGGCATACCAGTATAATGTACCACAGGGTCAGATTCACTGTATGGAGACATACTAGCGTAATGTACCACAGGGTCAGATTCATGTATGGAGACATACTAGCGTAATGTACCACAGGGTCAGATTCACTGTATGGAGACATTCTAGCGTAATGTACCACAGGGTCAATTTAATTATATGGAGGCATACCAGTGTAATGTACCACAGGGCCAGATTCACTTTATGGAGGCTTACCTCTGTAATGTTCCACAGGGTCAGATTCGTTATATGGAGATATACTGTACACTGAATACGAAGCTCTACTGTTTTATCGGGAAATCTGTGGCTGAAGACCGGTGCTCCTGGCTGGGGTGTGCAGTCCCTTTACACCTGGAAAGTATTAGCCGGAAACTCAGTAAACTCCAAAATATGAATCCTTTATTGGCTATATGTAGAAAACACAGTGAATGCAGCTAACACGTTCCATCCATTATGGCTTTACTCACATGAGTAAGGCCACAACAGCCGAAAATGTGTCAGCTGCGTTCACTGTGTTTTCTATATGTAGAAAAGAATAAAGAATTCATATTTTGGAGTTTACTGAGTTGCCGGCTAATATTGGCTTCTAATATGGACTTAACTATTATAATGTATCCTTACGTACTGTTTGGAATATGTAGGCTGCCATAACTGGCCTTCTGAAAATGCATGTTGCTTGGCTGTCTCACACTATAATACTTCTTGGGTCAATAATCTAATACAAGTATTCTGCAGGTTGTATAAAGTCGGCCGTAGATGGATCAAATCTCAGCTTGTTTAGGAGGGACCGGCCAAGGTACGATCCACCTATGGGCAGACTGGTTGTACTGAAGGTGATCCATCCATCGATATCAGTACAACAGCCTGTCTGATTTTATTTTGTTGTATAAAATTACTGCCGGCAGTTATAGCCACTAGTGGTAATCATTGTGTTCTTGCTGCTGGGAAGTCTACTCGCTGGGAGAACACATTAGCTCCACAGGACAGATTCCCCCATCAAGACTGACGGTGTCGATGGGGAATCAAGTCATTTTCTTTCTTACCCGTGGTGGAAGGAAAGAAAATCATATCATCTATGGCCTGCTTAAGAAAGGAGTCAGACAGCTTACTAAGTTGACTGACAGAACCCCATTATTGTCTCTGAATTCAGCCTACACAAGCCTGCCATTGGCCGTTTGTTGCCCATGTATTGCCACAGCTTCCTTTTTGTTGCTTGTTTATCGCAGTGACTGCCTATGTGTTGCCCATGTATTGCCACAGCTGCCGTTTTGTTGCTTGTTTATCGCAGTGACTTCCTGTTTGTTGCCCATGTATTGTCACAGCTTCCTTTTTGTTGCTTTTTTATTGCAGTGACTACCTGTGTGTTTCCCATTTATTGTCACAACTTCCTTTTTGCTGCTTGTTTATTGCAGTGACTGCCTATGTGTTGCCCATGTATTGCCACAGCTGCTGTTTGTTGCTTGTTTAATGCATTGACTGCCTGTGTGTTGCCCATGAATTGTCACAGCTGCCGTTTGTTGCTTGTTTATTGCAGTGACTGCCTGTGTGTTTCCCATTTATTGTCACAGCTTCCTTTTTGTTGCTTGTTTATTGAAGTGACTGCCTGTGTGTTGCCCATGAATTGTCACAGCTTCCTGTTTGTTGCTTGTTTATTGTAGTGACTGCCTGTGTGTTGCCCATGTATTGCCACAGCTGCCGTTTGTTCTTGTTTATTGCAGTGACTGCCTGTTTGTTGCCCATGTATTGTCACAGCTTCCTTTTTGTTGCTTGTTTATTGCAGTGAATGCCTGTGTGTTGCCCATGTATTGTCACAGCTTCCTTTTTGTTGCTTGTTTATTGCAGTGACTGCCCGTGTGTTTCCCATTTATTGTCACAGCTTCCTTTTTGTTGCTTGTTTATTGCAGTGACTGCCCGTGTGTTGCCCATGTTTTGTCACAGGTTCCTTTTTGTTGCTTGTTTATTGCAGTGACTGCCCGTGTGTTGCCCATGTTTTGTCACAGGTTCCTTTTTGTTGCTTGTTTATTGAAGTGACTGCCCGTGTATTGCCCATGAATTGTCACAGCTTCCTGTTTGTTGCTTGTTTATCGCAGTGACTGCCCGTGTGTTGCCCATGAATTGTCACAGCTGCCTGTTTGTTGCTTGTTTATTGCAGTGACTACCTGTGTGTTGCCCATGTATTGTCACAGCTTCCTTTTTGTTGCTTGTTTATTGCAGTGACTGCCCGTGTGTTGCCCATGTTTTGTCACAGCTTCCTTTTTGTTGCTTGTTTATTGCAGTGACTACCTGTGTGTTGCCCATGTATTGTCACAGCTTCCTTTTTGTTGCTTGTTTATTGCAGTGACTGTCCGTGTGTTGCCCATGTTTTGTCACAGGTTCCTTTTTGTTGCTTGTTTATTGAAGTGACTGCCCGTGTGTTGCCCCCATGAATTGTCACAGCTTCCTGTTTGTTGCTTTGTTTATTGCAGTGACTGCCTGCGTGTTGCCCATGTATCATCACAGCTTCCTTTTTGTTGCTTGTTTATTGCAGTGACTGCCTGTGTGTTGCCCATGTATTGTCACAGCTTCCTTTTTGTTGCTGACATACCATCATGATTGCATGTTTATTGTCTCCATAATTGCCCTTTTGTTGCCCGTTTATTGTCATAGTTGTCAGTTTGTTTCCCATGTATTGACACGGTTGTAAGTTCATTGCCCATATACCATCACGATTGCTAATTTGCTACCTACAAACTGTTGCAATTGCCCATTTGTTGTCTATGTATTGCCATGATTGCCAGTGTGTTGCCTGCATATTGCCACATTTACATCCTTTTTTTTTTTTTTTTTGCTGTATAACCAGTTCTGGTTAAGCCGGCCATAGATGGTTTGAATCTCAGCAAGTTCACCAGGGACTGAACAATATATAGGCAGGCTGAATGTACCCAAGTTGATCGATGAATCAATTTGGGTACAACGAGCATGTCAGGTTTTACATGTGATTTTTGCTAGTGGCTATTATAGCCGTGACGGGGATTATAGTTCTCCTGATGGGGACCCCCCCTCCCCACCGGTAGAACACAATGGCCTTTGCGAGTTAATCCCCCCATCAACATTCACTGTGTTGATGGGGGAACCAAGTGATTTTCTTTCCTGCAACCTGTGGGTGCAAATTGCACCATCTATGGCCAACTTTAAACGTCATGGAAGGTTTGGATGTCTAGACATTCTTGCCTGGCCAGACATGCTACAACCAGATTTGACAAGGCTGGCATATTTGGATGGGAATCAGATTGCCTGGGCAGGCCTTCACCCTACTATCTAAGGAAGGCTGGAAATCAAATTGTAACTTGAGTGGCCAGCTATAAAAGAAAGGGCTAGGTCAGGGGCGGACTGACCATTTGGAAACTCGGGCACTGCCCGAGGGCCCGGGGTCAGTAGGGGGCCCAATGAGATGCCCCTGGTACCTTTTTCATAGGCTTTTTTGAGTTTGGGCAAGGACACAGGGGCCCCATGATCCCCTATTGCCCGGGGGCCCCATGAGTTGTCAGTCCACCCCTGGGCTAGGTTTAGGATCGCAGCGTAGGATCTTAAAATCTAAAGGTATCCACTAAAAATTATCATCGTATCTAGGCAAGGACACAAATGGCACGCCCTGCGCACCGTCCTGAACAAGAGGATGCTGAAACCGTCCGAAGCCAAGAGCTACGCCGGGAGCATCAACAACATTGTTTCGGATCTCATGGTCAGACTGCAGGACTTGCGCAAAGAGAGCCCCACCGGCGACATGGTCAAGGACTTGGCGAATGAGTTATATCGCTTCACTTTTGAAGGTATGTCCTACACTGCCAGTTTTGTCCAGATGATGCTGGAGGACATCCATCATCGTTCCTAGATTGTAAGCTCGAAAGAGCAGGGCCCTCAAACCCCTCGTGTATTGTCTTGTTACTGTATTGTCTCATGTACTGTCCCCCCACTATAACGTACAGCGCTGAGCAGGGGCGGACTGACAACTCATGGGGCCCCCGGGCAATAGGTGATCATGGGGCCCCTGTGTCCTTGCCCAAACTCAAAAAAGCCTATGAAAAAGGTACCAGGGGCATCTCATCGGGCCCCCTACTGACCCCGGGCCCTCGGGCAGTGCCCGAGTTTCCAAATGGTCAGTCCGCCCCTGGCGCTGAGCAAACCTTTTGGCACTATATAAATACTGTATAATAATATAATAATAATAATGTAGCACTTTCCTCCCCAGCCTAACCATCCATTAATGTCCCTTTAATTCAGTTTCAATCATGGAGGCTCATTGTCACATGTGTGCAGCACCTATTGTGGCCATGATCTGCCTGAGTTGCATGGAGAAACATAGACAACCTCTTTGTTTCCCGCTCCCTCAACCTCTTAGCGATCACGGAAACCTGGATCCAGTCCACTGACTCTACTTCCCCTGCTGCACTCTCCTACGGAGGTCTCACCTGGACCCACTCACCCAGGCCTAACGGTTGTAAAGGTGGTTGGGTTGGTCTGCTCCTGTCACCGCAGAGCACCTTCCGAGTCCTCCCAAATCCCCCCTCCCTATCCTTCTCCTCCTTCGAGGCCCACTGCGTCCGACTATTCTCCCCAACCCCCCTGAAGATTGCTGTGATATACCGGCCTCCTGGATCCATACCCCGCTTCCTGGATGACTTCTCCTCCTGGCTACCCTTCTTCCTCTCCTCTGAGCTACCCACCATCATCCTTGGGGATTTCAACATCCCTGTCAACCTCGACAACCCGGACACAGCCCGTCTCCTCCACTTAACCTCCTCCTTTACACTTGCACAGTGCATACAATCCACCACCCACTCCGACGGTAATATCCTTGATCTTGTCTTCTCCAACCGCTGCGCTCCCCACAACCTCACTAACACCCCCTTCCCTCTCTCTGACCACAACCTGATTACCTTCTCTATCTCCCTGGAGCGACTATGGCGCAAAACCAAATCCCAACAAGCCTTCACCCGCTACAAATCTGCCTTCCACACCTACACCTCCTCCCTCCATGCTGCCAAACAGGCCTACTTCTTGACCCTCATCAAGGCCCTCTCCTCCAATCCTCGCCGACTCTTCTCCACCTTCAACTTTCTACTCTCACCACCCCCCCACCTCCACCCAGCACCTCACTCACTGCCCTTGAGATTGCCAATCACTTCAAAAACAAGATTGACACAATTCGCAAGGACATTGCCGCAACTCACACACCCTCTCAACCCGTCCCCTCTCACACAGCTACCCCCTTATCCCCCCTCCCCCTCGACATAACCCGCAGGGACTTCGTCGCTGCTCAAACTCTCTCCAACCCTCTTCACCCTCACTCAGCTACACCCTCATCACCCCTCTCCCACGGCCCCACCACTGCTCTGACCTCCACTTCCACCCCACATTCCTCATACTGAAGCTCCCCCCCACACTCCGCACCTTTGACCTTACTACCATCGAGGAAGTCTCCAAGATCCTCTCTGATGCCCACCTCACCACCTGCCCCCTCGACCCTATCCCCTCACAACTCCTACGACCTTCCTCCTCCTCCATCCTACGCTCCCTCACCCACATCTTCAATCTCTCCCTCTCCTCAGGCACTTTCCCCTCCCCTATGAAACATGCACACATCACCCCCATACTTAAAAAGCCCTCCCTGGACCCCATTGACCCGAACAACCTCAGACCCATCTCCCTGCTCCCATTTACATCTAAACTCCTCGAGCGCCTAGTCTACACCCACCTATGCTCTTACCTCAACGATAACAACCTCCTCGATCCCCTACAGTCTGGCTTCCGTCCCCTACACTCCACCGAAACTGCCTTACTCAAACTCTCCAACGACCTGCTAACCGCCAAAGCTAATGGACACTATTCAGTGCTCCTACTCCTTGACCTCTCTGCGGCCTTTGACACAGTCGACCACCCCCTCCTCCTCAAAAAACTACACTCCCCCTCGGCCTCAGAGATTCTGCTCTCTCCTGGCTCTCATCCTACCTGTCACAACGCTCCTTCAGCGTTACCTATAATGCTCCCACCTCCCCCTCACTCCCCCTCTCTGTTGGGGTCCCTCAAGGCTCTGTCCTCGGGCCCCTTCTCTTCTCCATCTATACCTCCTCCCTTGGCCAACTCATACACTCTCACGGCTTCAACTACCACCTCTATGCCGACGACACACAAATCTATCTCTCAACCCCCACCTCACCCCCTTGGTCTCTGCCCGAATCACACACCTACTGAGCGACATATCAGACTGGATGTCGCTCCACTTCCTTAAATTGAACCTCTCCAAAACCGAGTTTCTTGTCTTCCCCCCAGCCCGGACCCCACCCCCCCATTGATTTCTCTATCACATCGAATAACGCTACCATCAAACCCGCCCTGCAGGCCAGAGTACTTGGTGCCATTCTGGACTCCAACCTATCCTTCCAGCCCCAAGTCCAATCTTTAACAAAAACTCGTGCAGACTCCACCTCCGCAACATCGCCAAAATCTGCACGTTCCTAACCCCAGAAACCACTAAACAGCTCATCCACTCCCTCATCATACCACGACTCGACTACTGCAACTCCCTCCTCACTGGCCTGCCTCGCCGCTGGCTATCCCCGCTTCAGTCGATCCTGAATACGGCTGCCAGACTCATTCACTTTTCCAACCGCTCCATCTCTGCCACCCCCCTCTGCCAATCCCTCCACTGGCTTCCGATTGCGCAACGGATCAAATTCAAAATCCTAACACTGACGTACAAAGCTGTCCACCATACTGCCCCGAACTACATCACTGACCTAATATCCAAGTACCACCCAACACGCGTTCTCCGCTCCTCACAAGACCTCCTTCTCTCTAGTTCCCTGGTCTCCTCCTCCCATGCCCGCCTTCAGGACTTCTCCAGGGTGTCACCCATCCTCTGGAACTCCCTGCCCCAACCCATCAGATTATCACCTACTCTCCTCTCCTTTAGGCGCACCCTGAAAACCCATCTCTTCAGGGAAGCCTACCCCACCCCCTGCTAACTTGCCGACCTCCTCCACTCTTCCTACCACTCCATCCCCCACAGCTATCTCCTCCTGTACCACCATCCCCTCCCTCCTAGATTGTAAGCTCCAAAGAGCAGGGCCCTCGATCCCCTCATGTTTTGTATTGTATTGGTATTGTTCTGTCACATGTTCTGTCCCCTTTGTAATGTACAGCGCTGAGCGAACTATTGGCGCTTTATAAATACTGTATAATAATAATAATAATAATAGAGACCCAGTCATTGCATCACAGAGTCTATATAATGTAACAAAAACAGGTTTTAATTAAAATGTCATTAACCTGCTGATAAGGGGGAGGAATGCAGAATGCAGAGACCATACAGTCAAATTGTAACATGTATGATGATGTAACATGATCTCTTCTAGGGGTCGCCTATATCGTGTTTGAGACTCGGACTGGCTGTCTGAATAAAGAGGTCCCCCCAGAGACACAGAGGTTTATCAATACAATCGCTGAGCTGCTGAGGAATTCCGTCTACGTCACATACCTCCCTGAATGGACCAGAGGAATCCTACCCTACTGGAAAAAGTACATCGATGGCTGGGACAGAATCTTTGCTTTTGGTAAGTGCGGTCATGCCACATCACCCTAAAATCCAGGCAGCCCCCCCCCCCCCCCACTCTCTTACCCCTCTCACCCCATCACCCTGCAAACACAAATCCTGGATCCTGGATTCTTCTCAGTATCTGCTCTTCTTCGGTATGTATGGACCCAGCACAGTACCACTTCTCTTGTATTGTATGCCAGGTGTAATTCTCAGTATCTGTTCTTCTTCGGTATGTATGGACCCAGCACAGTATCACTTCTCTTGTCCTGTATGTCGAGTGTAATTCTCAGTATCTGCTCTTCTTCTGTATGTATGGACCCAGCACAGTACCACTTCTCTCCTGTATGTATGTAATTCTCAGTATCTGTTCTTCTTCGGTATGTATGGACCCAGCACAGTACCACTTCTCTTGTATTGTATGCCAGGTGTAATTCTCAGTATCTGTTCTTCTTCGGTATGTATGGACCCAGCACAGTACCACTTCTCTTGTGTTGTATGCTGGGTGTAATTCTCATTATCTGTTCTTCTTTGGTATGTATGGACCCAGCACAGTACCACTTCTCTTGTTCTTGTATGCCGGGTGTAATTCTCAGTATCTGTTCTTCTTCGGTATGTATGGACCCAGCACATTACCACTTCTCTTGTATTATATGCCGGGTGGAATTCTCAGTATCTGTTCTTCTTCGGTATGTATGGACCCAGCACAGTACCACTTCTCTTGTATTATATGCCGGGTGTAATTCTCAGTATCTGTTCTTCTTCGGTATGTATGGACCCAGCACAGTACCACTTCTCTTGTTCTGTATGTCAGGTGGAATTCTCAGTATCTGTTCTTCTTCGGTATGTATGGACCCAGCACAGTACCACTTCTCTTGTTCTGTATGACGGGTGTAATTCTCAGTATCTGTTCTTCTTCAGTATGTATGGTCCCAGCACAGTATCAATTCTCTGGTCCTGTATGCCAGGTGTAATTCTCAGTATCTGTTTTATTCTGTATGTTGGGACCCAGAACAGTAGCACTGCAACCACGACCAGCCCCAGTGGTGTAGATAAACCTATAGGGAGCCCATTGTTCCATCACCTAAGTGAATGAATCAATCGTTCCGGAATTCATTGTGACAATCATTAATGTCAGTTCTGACAAACTGTACTTTATAGGACTGTACATATAGTTTAGACCAGAGGACTCCAAACTTCATAAAGAAAGGGCCAGTTTACTGTCTATCAAACTTTAGGAGGGCCGGACTGTGGCCAGTGGCAGTAGAACATGCCCCAGCATCAGTGGGAGTCCACAATGTCCACAATGTCTCAAATTTGATGGTCAGTAGGATTTACAAAATTAAACAGCGCATGTGGTGAGTAGGAGGAGTAATGGTGCCCCATCATTGGTATCAGTGGAGGAATAGTGCCCCATCATTGGTATCAGTGGAGGAATAGTGCCCCATCATTGGTATCAGTGGAGGAATAGTGTCCCATCATGGTGTCAGTGGGGGAATAGTGTCCCATCATTGGTATCAGTGGGAGGAATAGTGCCCCTATCATTGTATCAGTGGAGGAATAGTGCCCCATCATTGGTGTCAGTGGGAGGAATAGTGTCCCATCATTGGTATCAGTGGGAGGAATAGTGCCCCTATCATTGGTGTCAGTGGGAGGAATAGTGTCCCATCATTGGTATCAGTGGGAGGAATAGTGCCCCATTGTAGGTGACAGTGGGAGGAATAGTGCCCCATCATTTGTGTCAGTGGGAGGAATAGTACCTTATCATTGGATCAGTGGGAGGAATAGTGCCCCATCATTGGTATCAGTGGGAGGAATAGTGCCCCATCATTGGTATCAGTGGGAGGAATAGTGCCCCATCATTGGTGTCAGTGGGAGTAGTGCCCCATCATTGGTGTCAGTGGGAGTAATAGTGCCCCATCATTGGTGTCAGTGGGAGGAATAGTGCCCCATCATTGGTGTCAGTGGGAGGAATAGTGCTCCATCATTGGTGTCAGTGGGAGGAATAGTGCCCCATCATTGGTATCAGTGGGAGGAATAGTGCCCCATCATTGGTGTCAGTGGGAGGAATAGTGCCCCATCATTGGTATCAGTGGGAGGAATAGTGCCCCATCATTGGTGTCAGAGGGAGGAATAGTGCCCCATCATTGTTGTCAGTGGGAGAATAGTACCCCATCATTGGTATCAGTGGGAGGAATAGTCCCCCGTCATTGGTGTCAGTGGAAGGAATAGTCCCCCATCATTGATGTCAGTGGGAGGAATAGTGCCCCGTCGTTGGTGTCCATGGAAGGAATAGAGCCCCATCATTGGTGTCAGTGGGAGGAATAGTGCCCCATCATTGGTATCAGTGGGAGGAATAGTGCCCCATCATTGGTATCAGTGGGATGAATAGTGCCCCATCATTGGTGTCAGTGGGAGGAATAGTGCCCCATCATTGTTGTCAGTGGGAGGAATAGTGCCCCATCATTGGTATCAGTGGGAGGAATAGTCCCCCATCATTGGTGTCAGTGGGAGGAGTAGTGCCCCATCATTGGTATCAGTGGGAGGAATAGTGTCCCGTCATTGGTATCAGTGGGAGGAATAGTGCCCCATCATTGGTGTCAGTGGGAGGAATAGTGCCCCATTGTTGGTGTCCATGGAAGGAATAGAGCCCCATCATTGGTGTCAGTGGGAGGAATAGTGCCCCATCATTGGTGTCAGTGGGAGGAGTAGTGCCCCATTGTTGCTGTCTGTGGAAGAAATAGAGCCCCATCATTGGTATCAGTGGGAGGAATAGTGACCCATCATTGGTGTCAGTGGGAGGAATTGTACCCTATTGTTGGTATCTGTGGAAGAAATAGTGCCCCATCATTGGTTTCAGTGGGAAGGATGATGCCCCATTGTTGGTGTCAGTGATAGGAATAGTGCCTCAAGGGCCAGACAAAAGCAAACAGAGGGCCACAACCTGCCCACAGGCCGCAGTTTGGAGACCAGTGGTTTAGACCTTTTTTCTTTCTTCTATTTTCTAAATGAACAGCAAGGCGGCGCTCTCCTGACTGTCTGGTTGGTTGTTTCCAGGGAAGAAGTTGATTGATAAGAAGATGAGTGAGATCCAGGAAAGGCTGGAGAGAGGAGAGGAGGTGCAGGGGGAGTACCTGACCTACCTGTTGTCCAGCGGAAAGCTGACCATGCCCGAGGTGTACGGCAGTGTGTGCGAGCTGCTGCTGGCCGGCGTGGACACCGTATGTAATCAATGTGTATTTGTTTATTTTTTTAAAGCTTCTGCAATGTGGGGCCTATTCTAAAATAAAAACAAAAATGTAACGCATAAAACAACACATTACAAAGCACACACAGAAGTATCAGCACCTGCTGTAAAAATATCCCTACTAATAGACTTTCTTTACTTATTTATGTAGAATATCCATCTCCTGGAAACCCCATATATTTTGGAGAGCTGAACCCCCTGACAGTCCCTTCTATCTCTTGGGGACTCTATTGGTGAGATCTCTGGAGTCCCCGGGTCTGTACACCTGCTGTGCTCATTATGGGGGGATCCCACCATCCCTGTGCTGAGTTCCCAGGTCTGTACACCCGTGGTGCCCATTATGGGGGGTTCACACTATCCCTATGCTGAGTTCCTGGGACTGCACACTTGCTGTGCCCATTATGAGGGGTTCCCGCCATCCCTGTGCTGAGTTCCCGGGTCTGTACACCTGCTGTACCCATTATGAGGAGTTCTCACCATCCCTGTGCTGAGTTCCCGGGTCTGTACACCCTGCTGTGCCCATTATGAGTTTCCCGCCATCCCTGTGCTGAGTTCCCAGTCTATACACCTGCTGTGCCCATTATGAGGGGTTCCTGCCATCCATGTGCTGAGTTCCCAGGTCTGTTCACCTGTTGTACCCATTATGAGGGGTTCCCGCCATCCCTGTGCTGAGTTCCCAGGTCTATACACCTGCTGTGCCCATTATGAGGGGTTCCTGCCATCCCTGTGCTGAGTTCCCAGGTCTGTTCACCTGTTGTACCCATTATGAGGGGTTCCCGCCATCCCTGTGCTGAGTTCCCAGGTCTGTTCACCTGCTGTGCCCAATATGAGGGGTTCCCGCCATCCCTGTGCTGAGTTCCCAGATCTGTTTACCTGCTGTACCCATTATGAGGAATTCCCACCATCCTTGTGTTGGGTTTCCAGGACTGTTCACCTGCTGTATCCATTATGTGGGGTTCCCACCATCCCTATGCAGAGTTCCCGGGTCTGCTCACCATCCCTACCCATTCCCAACCATTTTGTCCCCACCACTACAGCTTCAAGGGTCCCTCCACTCCAGGGCATGGTCTGTGTGCACACTCATGGCAGTCCTTCTGGCAGCAATGGATTCCACTCAGTCCTGATCCTGCAACACAGCCTAGTATTGGCTTTCTTCAATGTCAGAAGCCTCACAAGGAGCTTCACACAGCACATCTCCCAACCTGGCTGTCTATGTGAGATTGTGTCTAGCAGTGTGCCTTTCTAGTCTTTACTGAGCAAGGGGGAATGTCACCAGCACACCGAGGATCACCAATACGGGTCCAAAGGTTTTAATGACCGATCACATAGTTACAGCAAGGCAACGTTTCAGAGTCTCGCAGGACCCCTTCATCAGGCATGTGACCTATGTGACCTATGTGACATCACATGCCTGATGAAGGGGTCCTGCGAGACTCCGAAATGTTGCCTTGCTGTAACTATGCGATCGTTCACTTTTGGACCCGTATTGGTGATCCTCGGTGTGCTGGTGACATTCTCCCTTGCTGATTCTGTTCGGTTCCAGACGACGGTCGCTGCAGCACCCACTTATACGCACCACCATTTTTAATGCAGGAACGTGTGCGTTTGGAATGTATACTTGCCTTCTAGTAACCTGAAAGGAGCTGTAGTGAGAGAGAGATGAGTCTTTGTGTTGACTGTTTTAACATGTGTCAGGTTGAGCTACTGAGCTCAGTAAACAACAGAAAAAGAAAGACGCACAGGAGATGCACCGAATCGCCATAACAGGAATTGCCTGTATAGCTGACAAACATAGAAAGAGTAGGATTGCCCTGTAACAGACGACCCCCTCCCCCAGGTATGGGAATCGTTCGGTGTCGTGCCCTCAGGCATTGCAACAGAATGTAGACTGTTTTGTTGATGATCCATTCAGGTGAGATTTTGATATAAAAACAACAAATACCTCCTCTGCTTCTTGTCCTTCACAGACATCCAACACACTAACCTGGTCTCTCTATCATCTGGCAAAAGACCCGGAGCTCCAAGAGGCCCTGTACCAGGAGTCCATCAAGGTTGTTCCTTTAGGTCAAATACCCACCGCAGACGACATCACCAACATGCCCCTTATGAGGGCAGTTATCAGAGAGACCCTGCGGTGAGTCTGGGGACGGGGATGATGTGAGAACACACAGCCTGATTAGAAGAAATGTTGCAACTTTTTTCTCCTAACTTTGCTACTTCTCGGCGAGAAAACTTGGTGTTGGATATTCAACATCTGCAGAATTCATTTTGTAAAATCAGGTGAAACGTTGCAGTTGAAGTGCAGCAAGATGTATTTTGCAACCGTAAAAGATAACAGATGTCATCTGCAAAAAAGGTATGAGCAAAAAGGTGACACTCATCCTGCTCCCCCTCCCAGTACTGAATCAGTAGCTCAGTTCACCCCACTCCTCCACTCCACGCAGGGAGTCTTCAGCTCAGCTCTCCCTACTCCTCCACTCCACGCAGGGAGTCTTCAGCTCAGCTCTCCCTACTCTTCCACTCCAATCAGGGAGTCTTCAGCTCAGCTCTCCCTACTCTTCCACTCCAAACAGGGAGTCTTCAGCTCAGCTCTCCCTACTCCTCCACTCCACGCAGGGAGTCTTCAGCTCAGCTCTCCCTACTCCTCCACTCCACGCAGGGAGTCTTCAGCTCAGCTCTCCCTACTCCTCCACTCCACACAGGGAGTCTTCAGCTCAGCTCTCCCTACTCCTCCACTCCACGCAGGGAGTCTTCAGCTCAGCTCTCCCTACTCCTCCACTCCACGCAGGGAGTCTTCAGCTCAGCTATCCCTACTCCTCCACTCCAAGCTGTGAGGCTGCAGCTCAGCTCTCCCTACTCCTCCACTCCAAGCAAAGAGTCTTCAGCTCAGCTCTCCCTACTCCTTCCCTCCAAGCAGGGAGTCTGCAGCTCAGCTCTCCCTACTCATTTACTCCAAGTGGGGAGTCTGCAGCTCAGCTCTCCCTACTCCTCCACTCCGAGCGGGGAGTCTGCAGCTCAGCTCTCCCTACACCTCCACTCCGAGCGGGGAGTCTGCAGCTCAGCACTCTCTACTCCTCCACTCCGAGCGGGGAGTCTGCAGCTCAGCTCTCCCTACTCCTCCACTCCAAGCTGGGAGGCTGCAGCTCAGCTCTCCCTACTCCTCCACTCCAAGCAAAGAGTCTTCAGCTCAGCTCTCCCTACTCCTTCCCTCCAAGCAGGGAGTCTGCAGCTCAGCTCTCCCTACTCATTTACTCCAAGTGGGGAGTCTGCAGCTCAGCTCTCCCTACTCCTCCACTCCGAGCGGGGAGTCTGCAGCTCAGCTCTCCCTACACCTCCACTCCGAGCGGGGAGTCTGCAGCTCAGCACTCTCTACTCCTCCACTCCGAGCGGGGAGTCTGCAGCTCAGCTCTCCCTACTCCTCCACTCCAAGCGGGGAGTCTGCAGCTCAGCTCTCCCTACTCCTCCACTCCGAGCGGAGAGTCTGCAGCTCAGCTCTCCCTACTCTTCCACTCCAAGCGGGGAGTCTGCAGCTCAGCTCTCCCTACTCATTTACTCCAAGCGGGGAGTCTGCAGCTCAGCTCTCCCTACTCCTCCACTCCCAAGCGGGGAGTCTGCAGCTCAGCTCTCCCTACACCTCCACTCCGAGCGGGGAGTCTGCAGCTCAGCACTCTCCCTACTCTTCCACTCCGAGCGGGGAGTCTGCAGCTCAGCTCTCCCTACTCCTCCACTCCAAGCGGGGAGTCTGCAGCTCAGCTCTCCCTACTCCTCCTCCACTCCAAGCAAAGAGTCTTCAGCTCAGCTCTCCCTACTCCTTCCCTCCAAGCAGGGAGTCTGCAGCTCAGCTCTCCCTACTCATTTACACCCCAAGTGGGGAGTCTGCAGCTCAGCTCTCCCTACTCCTCCACTCCCAAGCGGGGAGTCTGCAGCTCAGCACTCCCTACACCTCCACTCCGAGCGGGGAGTCTGCAGCTCAGCACTCTCTACTCCTCCACTCCGAGCGGGGAGTCTGCAGCTCAGCTCTCCCTACTCCTCCACTCCAAGCTGTGAGGCTGCAGCTCAGCTCTCCCTACTCCTCCACTCCAAGCAAAGAGTCTTCAGCTCAGCTCTCCCTACTCCTTCCCTCCAAGCAGGGAGTCTGCAGCTCAGCTCTCTACTCATTTACTCCAAGTGGGGAGTCTGCAGCTCAGCTCTCCCTACTCCTCCACTCCAAGCGGGGGCTGTCTGCAGCTCAGCTCTCCCTACACCTCCACTCCGAGCGGGGAGTCTGCAGCTCAGCACTCTCTACTCCTCCACTCCAAGCGGGGAGTCTGCAGCTCAGCTCTCCCTACTCCTCCACTCCACTCCAAGCGGGGAGTCTGCAGCTCAGCTCTCCCTACACCTCCTCTCCGAGCGGGGAGTCTGCAGCTCAGCTCTCCCTACTCTTCCACTCCAAGCGGGGAGTCTGCAGCTCAGCTCTCCCTACTCCTCCACCCCAAGCGGGGAGTCTGCAGCTCAGCTCTCCCTACTCTTCCACCCCAAGCGGGGAGTCTGCAGCCCAGCTCTCCCTACACCTCCACTCCGAGCGGGGAGTCTGCAGCTCAGCTCTCCCTACTCTTCCACTCCAAGCGGGGAGTCTGCAGCTCAGCTCTCCCTACTCTTCCACTCCAAGCGGGGAGTCTGCAGCTTAGCTCTCCCTACTCCTCCACCCCAAGCGGGGAGCCTGCAGCTCAGCTCTCCCTACTCTTCCACCCTGCAGCTCAGCTCTCCCTACTCTTCCACCCCAAGCAGGGAGTCTGCAGCTCAGCTCTCCCTACTCCTCCACCCCAAGCGGGGAGTCTGCAGCTCAGCTCTCCCTACTCTTCCAGCCCAAGCGGGGAGTCTGAAGCTCAGCTCACCTTACTCCTCCAACCCAAGCAGGGAGTCTGCAGCTCAGTTCTCCCTACTCCTCCACTCCAAGCAGGGAGTCTTCAGCTCAGCTCTCCCTACTCCTCCACTCCGAGCGGGGAGTCTGCAGCTCAGCTCTCCCTACTCCTCCACTCAAAGCGGGGAGTCTGCAGCTCAGCTCTCCCTACTCCTCCACTCCAAGCGGGGAGTCTGCAGCTCAGCTCTCCCTACTCCTCCACTCCAAGCGAGGAGTCTGCAGCTCAGCTCTCCCTACTCCTCCACTCCAAGCAGGGAGTCTGCAGCTCAGCTCTCCCTACTCCTCCAACCCAAGCAGGGAGTCTGCAGCTCAGCTCTCCCTACTCCTCCACTCCAAGCAGGGAGCCTGCAGCTCAGCTCTCCCTACTCCTCCACTCCAAGCAGGGAGTCTTCAGCTCAGCTCTCCCTACTCCTTCACTCCAAGCAGGTAGTCTGCAGCTCAGCTCTCCCTACTCCTCCACTCCAAGTAGGGAATCTGCAGCTCAGCTCTCCCTACTCCTCCACTCCGAGCGGGGAGTCTGCAGCTCAGCTCTCCCTACTCCTCCAACCCAAGCAGGGAGTCTGCAGCTCAGCTCTCCCTACTCCTCCACTCCAAGCAGGGAGCCTGCAGCTCAGCTCTCCCTACTCCTCCACTCCAAGCAGGGAGTTTTCAGCTCAGCTCTCCCTACTCCTCCACTCCAAGCAGGTAGTCTGCAGCTCAGCTCACCCTACTCCTCCACTCCAAGTAGGGAATCTGCAGCTCAGCTCTCCCTACTCCTCCAACCCAAGCAGGGAGTCTGCAGCTCAGCTCCCCTACTCCTCCACTCCAATCAGGGATTCTGCAGCTCAGCTCTCCCTACTCCTCCACCCCAAGCAGGGAGTCTGCAGCTCAGCTCTCCCTACTCCTCCACTCCAAGCAAGGAGTCTGCAGCTCAACATTCACTATATCTGGTCTCCCCAGTCCCTGCATCCACTATATCCACTCTCCCCGGACCCTGCATTCACTATATCTGGTCTCCCTGGACCCTACATTCACTATATCCGGTCTCCTCGGACCCTGCATTCACTATATCCGCTCTCCCCGGACCCTGCATTCACTATATCCGGTCTCCCTGGACCCTGCATTCACTATATCTGGTCTCCCTGGACCCTACATTCACTATATCCGGTCTCCTCGGACCCTGCATTCACTATATCTGCTCTCCCCGGACCCTGCATCCACTATATCTGGTCTTCCCGGACCCTACATTCACTATATCTGGTCTCCGCAGATCCTGCATTCACTATATCCGGTCTCCCCAGACCCTACATTCACTATATCCGGTCTCCCCGGACCCTGCATTCACTATATCCACTCTCCCCGGACCCTACGTTCACTATATCCACACTCCCTCGGACCATGCATTCACTATATCTGGTCTCCCCGAACCCTGCATTCACTCTCCCCAGACCATGCATTCACTATATCCGCTCTCCCTGGGACCCTGCATTCACTATATCCGCTCTCCCCGGGACTCTGCATCCACCATATCCGCTCTCCCAGGACCCTGCATTTACTATATCCGGTCTCCCCGGACCCTGCATTCACTATATCCGCTCTCCCCATACCCGGCATTCACTATATCCGGTCTCCCCGGTCCCTGCATTCACTATATCTGGTCTCCCAGGACCCTGCATTCACTATATCCAATCTCCCTGGACCCTGCATTCACTATATCTGGTCTCCCTGGACCCTGCATTCACTATATCTGATCTCCCAGGACCCTGCATTCACTATATCTGGTCTCCCCGGACCCTGCATTCACTATATCTGGTCTCCCTGGACCCTGCATTCATTATATCTGGTCTCCCCGGACCCTGCATTCACTATATCTGGTCTCCCACAGTACACAGGACATGGAAATGCAATTATTTTAGTCAATATAAACTGCTAAATCCCTTTTCTCATCAGCAGTATATAGCAGTCTTGTGACTTCTATCAGTGTCCAGCAGAGCACTGGTTAATCTTGTAGGAGGAGTTTTCTTTCTGCTCTAGGAGGTTGAAAAACCCCTGACCTCTGTCTGGACAGTGCTGATTGGCCCTGTGCTGATCACATGCACTCTCCCAAGAAAAAAAAAAAAACGCTCTAGTAATAAACACCAAACTGAGCATGTGCATGTGGCTGCAGTTCAGTCTGTCTTATCAGGTAGACATTTGAACAAGAAGAGGGGCAGAGCAGACAGGATCAAACAGCCTTTTTACACAATGCGGAGGATTAACCCCTTAGGTTCCACAGTGAATATAACAAGCATGCTTTACTGCATCTACAGACTGATTGTACTGTTGTGGGTTCAGTAACACTTTAAGTAGTAAAGAAATGTACTGTATATGTTTTTTTTGCAGACATACAATTTGGGGTGAAGAGAATCTAACTTTCTCCAGACATTCTCTGCCACATGAATCTTCCGTGTACATGTGTGTTTTAATCAACAGCAATTCATTCTCCAGCAGAGAATGTTTGGTGAATGTCACATTCACTGCTTTATAGACAGACCCCTTTAAGTTCCCTCTGTCATACCCCCCCCCCCCCATACTGCTTCTGCTGCTACTGCTGACACATCTCTTCCTCCTATAGGATGTATCCTGTAGTTCCAACCAACGCAAGACTTATCGCTGACAAAGAGATGGTCATTGGCGATTACAAATTCCCCAAGAGGGTGAGTGCCGGGACAATTCATGATATCCATATAGGTAAAAGACACACAGTGAGCGCTCTCAAAGAAACAGCAGCTGAACATCCATGATAAACGCATACAAAAATCCTCAATAAAACATATACATATAAAATGCAGCGCTGTAAAATGATCAAATCATGCAAATCAACACAATAATAGTCCTGAAAAGGTGCTCATTAATTCCCAGTGTCAATGGAAAGAATGCAAACTAACCAGAAGCGCATTTAAAGTACGCATGTGTGTAAGAAATCCTGGAGATTCCCCTCTCTCCCTCTGGTCAGAAAATGGATATGTGCTGAAATGCATGATGATAACGCCCTCTTGTGGAAAAGTGAAATCCTGCAGGCCAGGAAGCTCCCAGGATAGGATATTCCTCTTCAATGGAACCAGGGCTGGGATTGAAAACACTCTGCGGCTGTGAAATTGGGAGAGAGACCCCTCACAGAGGACAAAGAGAGATACTCATAGTCTAGTATATTACTTCAATTTATTTAAAAAAAACAAGTAAAAAACATGTAATCAGGTGGCAAGTGAAAGTGACCCACTGACCCTCTTAAAATTAAAGGTGGCCGCCGGGCCTCCACATGGCACCGGCGGCGTAGTGTCAACGAGGTCCACAGGCCCCTCTGATGCGTTTCGTGCGCACGCACTTCTTCTGAGGTAGAGCAAGGACCATCTACGGGGTGACACCGGACCCGCTCCAAGAAAAGGTAAGTTGTAAAGAAAGCCGACGACCCCCACAGGATGGATCAGATCTGTGGATTGAGCATAATGGATTGGAGTCCGATCCTCTATGCTCAATCCGTAGATTCGATCCATTCTGTGGGGATCGTCGGAGGGGGTGTCACCAAGTGTTACCGCACCGAGTGACACCAACCCTAGGGACGCCTCTGCCTAGGGTAAAGGGGTACCACCAGTCCTCTTTTACGGGGCACGGGCCAGCAGGGGGGCCCAGGTAACTGGGTGAATTGGCTGTGGGAAGGGAGGGTGATCGGCACAGTTAGGGGGCAATTACTGGAACCTATCCTATGTATGCCTCTGCAGCATCTGAAAGCTGGATTCTTATCCTCTCCCTTCCGCTGGTTTTCAGCTGCTGCAGAGAGAGCCATACAGGGGATCGGTTCCAGTAATTAACCACCACCACCACCATGCCGATCCCCCTCCCTGTGCACATCTGATTCACCCAACTTCCTGGGCCCCACAGTGCCGGCTTCTCTCCTCTCGTTCCTACCAGCAGCAGCAAGCACACAATAGGATCCTTCAGGATAGAGAGTGGGAGAAGGATCCAGTAAATGTCACATTAACCAGCCCCTTCCTTTCCTGAATGAACACAATGAGTGATCGGCACCTATTTAATAACTGAAGCATAGTAAATCGTGTTTTTTTTTTTTTTTTTTTTTAAGGCCTTGTCAGGTTGGCTGTATGGGGCCCTATGGTTTCTAATGGCAGCCCTGCCTATCAATACAGCCTGACAGGCCTGTAAACCTGCCATGGCATTTTTACCTCAAGCCAAAGAGTTCGATAGGCCGCAGCGCTTGTCAAACTCACCCATTGGATTTGGTAGGGTCGTACTGAAACCGTACGCCAAATTCAGTCCAGCAATATAAAACTGCTTTTTGACAATTAAAAAAAAAAAGTGAATAAGAAAAAAAATCTGGTATCGGGAGGTGGCAATAGTGCCTCCTGAACGTCTGTCAGTCACTGCTATATCTCCTCTGAAAAGTGATCCACGTGGATTGCTTTTCAGAGGGCTGTGAAAGAGACTATTATAAAAAGAAAAAAGTCTACTGTCCTCATTGTGCTCTATGCCCTCCACCAAAGTCCACCAATGCTTATAATACAGGATCAAACCACTTCCTTGTCCATTTGCGGACCAACTATGTATCGTACGTCCCGGACTCCAAGTGGTTGTGCCAGGGTGATTCCTGCAGCGGACTGGCCATTCGAGAACTCGGGCACTGCCTGAGGACCCGGGGTCAGTAGGGGGCCTCATGACATGCCCCTGGTACCTTTTATAGGCTTTTTTGGGTGTGGTTTGAGTGTGGGCAAGGACACAGGGGCCCCATGATCCCTTATTGCCCAGGGGCCCCATGAGTTGTCAGTCCACCCCTGGTAGGGATCACCCAGGTAGTTTTTTTGTAGAGCTGGCGATCGGCTCTTTTGTAAAAGTGATCGGAGCAACTATCTAGCCATCCCAGCAGGAGACCCGAGCAACCAAACGGTGCACCCTCTGGCTGGCCAGACAGTCAGGATCAGCTGTTATAGTAACCTGGAAGCAAAGACCTGACATCACTAAACAGCGCCATTTAAAAAAAAAAAATAGAAAGCATTCAAAAACACCGATCTTGATGTTTTGAATGCTTCTAAGTGCAGAGGAAGGATTTGGGGTCTTAGAGATCCTTCCCATAAAGAGTACCTGTCACATGCCTATTGCTGTCACAAAGAAGGTTTACATTCCTTGTGACAGCAATAAAAGTGATACAAAAAATTAAAGCAACAATGTAAAAATAAAAAAATAAAATAAATGAATAATTAAAAAAAAATGTTAAGTATCCCCGTCCCCCCCACGCCAAGGGTGAACACATGTGTCAGTCCCACATGCATGCAAACAGTGATCTTCCCCAGTGGCGTCCCTAGACATTTGCGGGGGGTGCGCGCTGCAGCGGGTGACACCTTTCGCACGGGATAACACCATACCCGCTCCACCAAAAGGTACGTTTTAAAGTAAGCTGACAATCCCCGCAGGATGGATCGGATCTGCAGATTGAGCATAAAGGATTAGAGTCGGGTCCATGATGCTCCCCAATCCGCAGATCCGATCCATCCTGCGGGGATCGTCGGCTTGCTTTAAAAATTAACTTTTTGTGGAGCTCGTGGAGAGATCAGTTAAACCCGTAAAGGTTGCAAGCCGATGATCCCCACAGGATGGATTGGATCTGCAGATTGGGGATCCGATCCATTATGTTCAATCCGCAGATCCGATCCATCCTGCGGGGATCGTTGGAGGGGTGACACCAAGTGTTACCGCACCGGGTGACACCAACCCTAGGGACGCCCCTGATCTTCTCACACGTGGGAGGTATCACCATGAATGTCAGATTATGGGCAGTAATTCTAACATCAGAGTTCCTCTGTAAATCTCAACTGGCAACCTGTAAAAGCTTTTAAACTCTCGCCTATACAAAGTAAAATTTACGTCATTTGACGCCCATTGCACAGCCGTGCGCAATTTTGGGGGGTTCTAGCAAAAAATATAGATTTTTCCATATAAACAAAAAGTGCCAGAAAAGGTCTGGACGTCAAGTGGTTATTACGTAATTACGTAGGTTATTGTGTAATCGACACACCCCCTGGAGGTGGGACATCACCTGGGCTCACTATTCCTTCCACTGACACCAATGAGAGGACACTATTCTTTCCACTGATACCAATGATGGGGCACTATTCCTCCCACTGACACCAATGATGGGGCACTATTCCTCCCACTGACACCAATGATGGGGCACTATTCCTCCCACTGACACCAATGATGGGGCACTATTCCTCCCACTGATACCAATGATGGGGCACTATTCCTCCCACTGATACCAATGATGGGGGACTATTCCTCCCTGACTGACACCCCAATGATGGGGCACTATTCCTCCCACTGACACCAATGATGGGGGCACTATTCCTCCCACTGATACCAATGATGGGGCACTATTCCTCCCACTGACACCAACCAATGATGGGGCACTATTCCTCCCACTGACACCAATGATGGGGCACTATTCCTCCCACTGACACCAATGATGGGACACTATTCCTCCCACTGATACCAATGATGGGGCACTATTCCTCCCACTGACACCAATGATGGGGCACTATTCCTCTCACTGATACCAATGATGGGGCACTATTCCTCCCACTGATACCAATGATGGGACACTATTCCTCCTACTGACACCAATGATGGGGCACTATTCCTCCCACTGATACCAATGATGGGGCGCTATTCCTCCCACTGATACCAATGAGAGGACACTATTCTTTCCACTGACACCAATGATGGGGCGCTATTCCTCCCACTGACACCAATGATGGGGCACTATTCCTCCCACTGACACCAATGAGAGGACACTATTCTTTCCATTGACACCAATGATGGGACACTATTCCTCCTACTGACACCAATGATGGGACACTATTCCTCCTACTGACACCAATGATGGGGCGCTATTCCTCCCACTGATACCAATGATGGGGCACTATTCCTCCCACTGACACCAATGATGGGGCACTATTCCTCCCACTGATACCAATGATGGGGCACTATTCCTCCCACTGACACCAATGATGGGACATTCTTCCTCCCACTGACACTAATGATGGGGCACTATTCCTCCCACTAATACAAAAAATGGGGCATTATTCCTCCCACTGACACCAATGATAGGACACTATTCTTTCCACTGTGGCACTATTCCTCCCACTGACACCAATACCAATGGGGCACTATTCCTCCCACTGACACCAATGATAGGACACTATTCTTTCCACTGACACCAACGATGGGGCACTATTCCTCCCACTAATACAAAAAATGGGGCACTATTCCTCCCACTGACTCCAGTGATGGTGCACTATTCTTCCCACTGATACCAATGATGGGGCACTATTCCTCCCACTAATACCAATGATGGGGCACTATTCCTCCCACTGACACCAATGATGGGGCACTATTCCTCCCACTACACCAATGATGGGGCACTATTCCTCCCACTGATACCAATGATGGGGCACTATTCCTCCCACTGACACCAATGATGGGGCACTATTCCTCCCACTGATACCAATGATGGGGCACTATTCCTCCCACTGATACCAATGATGGGGCACTATTCCTCCCACTAATGACACCAATGATGGGGCACTATTCCTCCCACTGATACCAATGATGGGGCACTCTTCCTCCCACTGATACGAATGATGGGGCACTACTCCTCCCACTGATACCAATGATGGGGCACTATTCCTCCCACTGACACCAATGATGGGGCACTATTCCTCCCACTGACTCCAGTGATGGGGCACTATTCCTCCTACTGACACCAATGATGGGGCACTATTCCTCCTACTGTTACCAATGATGGGGCACTATTCCTCCCACTAATACCAATGATGGGGCACTATTCCTTCCACTAATACCAATGATGGGGCACTATTCCTCCCACTGATACCAATGATGGGGCACTCTTCCTCCCACTCCTGATACGAATGATGGGGCACTATTCCTCCCACTGACACCAATGATGGGGCACTATTCCTCCCACTGACACCAATGATGGGGCACTATTCCTCCCACTGACACCAATGATGGGGCACTATTCCTCCCACTAATACCAATGATGGGGCTCTATTCCTCCCACTGATACCAATGATGGGGCACTATTCCTCCCACTGACACCAATGATGGGGCACTATTCCTCCCACTGATACGAATGATGGGGCACTACTCCTCCCACTGATACCAATGATGGGGCACTATTCCTCCCACTGACACCAATGATGGGGCACTATTCCTCCCACTAATACCAATGATGGGGCACTATTCCTCCCACTGATACCAATGATGGGGCACTATTCCTCCCACTGATACGAATGATGGGGCACTATTCCTCCCACTGATACCAATGATGGGGCACTATTCCTCCCACTGACACCAATGATGGGGCACTATTCCTCCCACTGACTCCAGTGATGGGGCACTATTCCTCCTACTGACACCAATGATGGAGCACTATTCCTACCACTGATACAAATGATGGGGCACTATTCCTCCCACTGACACCAATGATGGGGCACTATTCCTCCCACTGATGGGGCACTATTCCTCCCACTGATGCCAATGATGGGGCACTATTCCTCCCACTGATGCCAATGATGGGACACTGTTTTCATCCACTGACAGCAGGACATTTTCTACCCCCGCTGGCCACAGTCTAACCCCCCCTAAAGTCTGAAACACAGTAAATTGGCCCTTTGTTTAGACAGTTTGTTTAGACCCGTGTTGTCCACTATCAGTGTGTAGATGTGTATACAGGAAAGATACTCTAGCTGTGTCACTTCTTCTTCTTCCAGACTCTCTTTGTCTTAAATCATTACGCCATCTCCAGGGATGAAGTCCACTTCCCGAATCCAGGGAAGTTTCTTCCTCAGCGGTGGCTGCGGGAAGAAGGGATGACCCACCACCCGTTCAGTTCCATTCCTTTTGGCTATGGGGTGCGAGGCTGTGCTGGCAAGAGGATCGCCGAGCTGGAGATGCATCTGGCACTTTCACGGGTAAGCGTGCGAAGATAAAGCAGCAAAAGAAGGATCTTCACAGAGGGAGAGAGCAGAGAGACTAGGGAGCAGGAGCCTCATGTGGTGTACTTAGTGAAATAAAAATGAACATAAAGTCTACAAGAGGGAGCAACTAAAACAGTCTGGAGGAGAGCGACAAGGAGAGTCCAAGTGAGTCCCCATGCAGGGTAGAAAGTAAGTTGGTCTGTGGTTTCGGGATGTAATTGCCTAATAAAGCATTAGTATCCCAGGTAGGGATGTCCTTCAGATTTGGTCCACACACAAGTTTGGACCTAACCTTGGCTGTTCGGTGGAACGCCTGAACATTTACCCATTCGGTGAGAGCCAGATGCCATGTATAATCACAGTATTACTACCATGATTATACATGACAACTTCCTGCTTCCTGACGAAGTCACCAGGCCATCCTACATCCCCCCCAAAAACTCCACATCAGGTCCATAGCAGAGCGTGTAGGAAAGGGAAAGGGGGGGGGAGAGCGTGTGCCTCTCTCTTCTGTGAACCATACCAGGCCACATGCCCTCAACATGAGGGTACCTTGTTATAAAATGTCGACAAGGGACTGTTCTCACCCACCCTGGCCTGGTGGTTGTTGGGGTCTTCAGATCAAGGAAAAACCACATACCACCCCACCCCTATGTAAATGAGCAAGACCTACACAATATCCCTCTTCAGAGGGCTAAGACAAATGTATATGAGCCCTAATATTCTTAAAGCCCAACTATGGCCAGTTTTTTTAACCCCTTGGCACCGGGGCCTCCCAGCCCTTTAAGGGGTTTTAGATTATGTGACTGTCATGAGCTTTCTGTTAGTTGCTGGTAACTGTGTCAAAGGTTCTGTTTATTTATTTCCGGTACTTATATAGCGCCATCAATTTACGCAGCGCTTTACAGTTGCAAGAAAAAGTATGTGAACCCCTTGGGATTACGTGGCGTTTTGTATGAATTGGGCATAAAATGTGCTCTGAACGTCATCTAAGTCACAACAATAGAAGAACACAGTCTACTGAACATAATAAACATGTTGACTTCATGCAAGTCAACAATTCTTGATCGTAGGTCTTCTGAGAGCTCTTTTCTGCGAGGCATGGTTCACATCAGACAGTGCTTCTTGAAACCAGTAAACCCAAAACAGGTGTGTGTTTTTTAAGGGCAGGACAGCTGTCAGCAACACATCCAATATCATCACACTGATTGGAGTCAAGGTTGGCTCACTCCTGGCTCCAATTAGCTCTGGGAGAAGTCATTAAGCTAGGGCCTCACATACTTTTTCCTCTCTGCACTGTGAATGTTTACATGTTATGTGCAATTAAACCATGGCAACATCTAATGATTGTGTAGTATTATGTTCAGCAGACTGTGTTCTTCTATTGTTGTGACTTAGATGACGTTCAGAGCACATTTTATGCCCAATTCATGCAAAACTCCCCGTAATCCCAAGGGGTTCACATACTTTTTCTTGCAACTGTACATATATATTGTACATTCACATCAGTCCCTAACCGTCAACGGCGTACAATCTAAGGTCCCTAACTCACATTCATACATACACATACTAGGGACAATTTAGACAGGAGACAATTCACCTACCAGCATGTTTATGGAGTGTGGGAGGGAACCCACGCAGGCACAGGGAGAACATGAAAACTCCAGGCAGGTGGTGCCGTGGTTGGGAATCGAACCTACGACCCTAGTACTGCCAGACGGAAGTGCTAACCATTTAGCCACTGTGCTGCCCGCTGTGTGTATCTTTAGGTATGCCTCTCGCTGTTAAGGGCCACCCACTTAGAGGCTGTATATATGCCTACAGGAATATACGCAGCAGGAAGGAGGTAAATTTAAATTTAAATCGTCCCTAGTGGTCGTAGTGGTGGGAAAAAAAAAGCAGATGCAATACACATCTCCTCTCTGGTGCTACCTCTCATGATAATTCAAGTTGGCCACTAGATGTCCTCAGGTCATTCAACCCAGTAGATTGAGGAAATAATGTAAGTGCAGGGCACTTTGTACCCGCCCCCCCCCCTTCACTGTGTGACCACCCACCCCTAGTAGAGCATCTAAAGATGACCCTGGGCATCACATAACCGGTCTGAAGACCTAAATGTGAAAAAAAAGAATACAAAAGCTAAATAGAGTGGGGACCTCCAGAAGAGGGGGGGGGCATGAATTTGGCCCTAAACAACAGATACATTATAAACTTGTGGTTTGGCCAACATCACATTATTTGAAAACATTCTGAGATAAGTTGGACTCCCCTTTTTAATCTCTTGGTTTCCACTTTTACAGATTATCCAGATGTTTGAGGTTAAACCGGATCCCAAACTCGGAGAAGTCAGATCACTCGCACGTATCGTCCTATCGGCAAGCCGACCCATAAACCTGAGGTTCCTAGAGAGGAAATCTGCTTAATGTTCTGACTGAAACCAACTGTAATCCCGAAATTTCTTCTGGCAATCAGCTTCTAGAGGGCAAAACTACAACCCGTGTCTGTAATATAGTCCTGAAATTATGGAACAACAAGCAGATAAAAATATGGAGTTCCTATGTAATAAAGTAAAAATACAGCACGCCATCAATAGAAAGGAAACCAGTGGACCCTTTAACCCTTTCTTGATCTTCCCCCATGAATGGAAAGCAGGGATGCCAATTTAGACTACTTAAAGCTTCAGCTCACCCCTATGGTGGGGCTGATCATCACCATAAGGGACCATTGGTGTGGTAGGGGGAAGGCGAGGTCCTACCAGTCAAGCAGTAGGCTTTGGAGAGCAGCAGAATGTATGACCCAACAGCTGGGCCATACGAGATTGGGGGGGTAGCTGTGTGCAGAAATAGACAGCTTCCTCAATATATCTACATTACTCTAATATGTGACATGTTCTGAATCATTCACTTATATAGAGTGCATTCAGAAAGTATTCAGACCCCCTTCACTATTTTCAATGTTATGTTGCAGTCCGATACTACATTTGTTTAAATTAGAGATGAACCGATACCATTCTTTTTACAGCGGGTACGAGTACCGCTACTTTATTATTAATACTCACCGATACCAATTACCAATACCTGTTTACTCTTTAGATGTCAGCAGGGGAACCCCGCTGACAGCTGAACGAGGGATCAGTTGTTAACCACTTCCCGACCGGCCGTTGCATATAAACGGCCGGACGGTGGTAGTGCAGGGTCGGGTGGCCGTTTATAAACGACCTCCCTGCACGCTGCTTGTGCGCGCTCCCTGGGAGCGCGCAGCATCGCGATCCGTTGCCCGCTGTGTCCTCCGGACACAGTGAAACACCGATCGTCGGACAGGACCTCTGTACGAGGTCCCGATCATATGATCACTGATTGGCCAATCAGTGATCACATGCAAAGTAGTAAGCAAGATGTCACTTGTGACATTGCGTCCCCAACCAAACTGTCAAACCATCAAATGGCCGGTGTTATAACTGATCACATGTGCAGCACCATGGCAGTTGCAGATCAAACAGAAGCAGATTCCTTAACTGTAAAGGATAGGAGGGTTTATTTCAACTCTAAGGCCCCTTTCACACGGGCGTTCTGTATGTCCGTTGCTCATATGTCCGTTTACGGATGAAAAACAGACACCTATGTATTTCTATGGACTTGTGGATGTAAAGGGATGATCTTCTGTTTACATCCGATAATGTCTCTATCCATTAATATCCGGAAGAATCCGGAACAATAGGAAGAAACCCCTATTTTTCTTCTGTAAAAAAAAAACAATAACAAACGAAAAACAGATGTAAATGGACAAAAAACGGATGTAAACGGACATACGGTCCATTTTTGTATCGGTAAAGGATGTAATAAAACAAATGTAAACAGATGAAAAACGGATGTAAACTGATGAAAAAAAAATAAATAAAATGCTCGGGTAAAAGGAGCCTAGGGCTGTCAGCAGATCGGCCTCTACAGATTCAGCAGTGCCTAAAAATGGAGCATAAATGAGCATGTGCAGAACAGGGTGAGACTGTATATTACTAGATTTTAAACAGTACCGACACATACTGTATTTGTAAAGTTTAACATAGATATACCTGCAAAAGGGGCCAGCCTGACGTGATCCATTGATCCAGGTGGACTTCGTTTTCTGACTAAACTTCCGCTTTAAAATGACCCAAATTTTTTTTTCTTTAAATTTTGCACTTTTTTTTTTCAATGCGAAATGTGTAAATATATGTTAAAGGTGTAAAAATATTGTTGAACAAAGCAAATAATAACAAAAAAAAGTTTTAATTATTAATAGTTTATAAAATATAAATGAACAAAAAAGAAATCAGCAGAAAAATAATAATTAAGGAGTTAATTAGGGTTGATAAGAGTACATGAAGGGTTAATAAGGGGTTAAACAGAGGAACATTTAAATTTCAAACCAAAAAAAAAAAAAACCTTTTTTGTACTTGTCAGGTTTCTTTTAACTGACTTAATTTGCATATCCTAATCCCTTTCATCTGTAGATGAATAAACAGAAAGATACAAAATGAAACAATGTTTTAGTGACTGAGTAATTATGTTGATATTTATTGTCAGACTGCTTTTTTTTTTTTGTTTACACATCGGTTTAATAAGGACACCAGCCCCTCTCCACTTACCCTCCTGAGGATTTACCCCCCTTCGTGACCATCGCCATTTTTTTGCGTTACAGCGCTGCGATAATTTAACTGACAATTGTGTGGTTATGCAACGCTGCACCCAAACTAAATTTACGTCCTTTTGTTCCCACGAATTGAGCTTTCTTTCGGTGATATTTGATCCTCTCTGCGTTTTTTTTTATTTTTTGCACTATAAGCAAAAAAAAGACAATTTTGAGGAAAAAAAAACAATATTTTGGACTTTTTGCTATTAAACATGTCCAGTTAAAAGAATTAAAAAAATCTAATTCTGTCATAAATTTAGGCCAAAATGTATTGTTATATTAGGTATCCAGCACTAGCCTGCTCTCACTATAATACCCCACCAAGTCACTTTAACCGTTCTTCCCCTGAAGTACATACATAAATCAATTAATCATTAAGCACACTTGGTAACAGAAAACTCAATATTCATGTATAAAGTCCCAAAATAAGTCCCAAAATCTTAGTGTATAAAGTCCCAAAATAAGAGTCCAAAAAATCAAAATCCAAATAATTCCCTAAGAGGTTATCTCTAAATCAATACTTTCTTAAATCTTCGTATCTTCAAACCGCCTTTTTTTTGGTGTACTCCAAAAAATAAATCTTCATATACCTCAAAGAAAAAAACTCGACATAGTGCTTTATCCAAATAATATCCAAAATATAATAAAAGTGCCACACGTGTTACATGCAAAAACACTCCCGTGCCACAGCAACCGTGAGAAAAAATACCTCTGCCTTACATGTTATTCACTGCACACAAATAACAGAAGTGCATAATTACCCTCAAGGTAGTAACACAAGCCATAGATGAGATTATTTCCAACCTTTTTCCTTCAGCCTTTCCAACCACTTCCCATAGACCTCATAAACAGACCAGGGATCAGTGTATATAATAAATAATCACAGTACTTTAATATAGCAACTTACATTAAAATAAGAAGAGATCAGCTTCCACACACAAAGCGATTGATTCCACAATCGAGCCTCTCCTCAGTGGTGTTACAATATCCTCAGCATACCACTTCAGAGAAGGAATATATAATTGGTAATAAGTTCCCCACTACCCATACATCTGTATGGAGGATTCCAGGGCATAGACAGCCGCGTGTTCCAAGAACAAAAATGGCCACCACAGCACTTCCGGAAGAACGTCAGAACGTCACCACGTCACGTGCCCCGGACGCGTTTCGTCACATCCGGACTTTATCAACAGGGATCAACTGTTGATACTATACATACAATAAAACAAGATTTAATTGTTATAAATGGATTTTGTCTTTATTATTTATTTGATACAGTCACTCACAACATTCTTTCTTACTCAGGTCAAGTGGCACAATACATTGATACATGCCCTATAGTTGCTCCTAGGGATACCCTTTTTTTAATCGGCGAGTACGAGTACCGATAATTTCGGTCAAGTCCCCACCAATACCAATTACCAATACTTTGTGGTGCAATTTGCGTCAATACAAAATGTATGGATGCAAATTACCCCGCAAAAAATAGCATGCAAGTTGAACAGGAATGCGATTCCTGTCTAAATCACGTGCAGTTTCCCCTTTGCTCCTGTGTGAATCCAGGCTGTCATAGAGTTCACACAGGAGCGGTGCAGGGAGGTTTCCCGCAGTGGAGAGTGGGCATGTGGGGATGTATACAGGAGCATATTTACCACAAGGCATTTGCCTGGGGCGGCATTTTTCAGGGGGGCAGCAGCATTTTTCAGAGGGGCAGCACCGCCCCCCAAAGGAAGGGATGGAAGAAGGGACACACGTAGCATAGGGAACAGGTGGGATCTGAGAGAGGCTGCGGGCTGCTTGATGGTGTAGGCAGAGGCTGACTCTTGTTCCTAGGGATGTGAAGGTGAGTGTCTTCACTCTTGCAGCATCTGGGGGGGGGCATTGCCAGTGTATGGGGGGGTGGTGGTAATGGAAGACAATCTTGGGTGGGGGGCTGGGGTGTTGTTGGTCAGTGTCAGGCTCTCTTCATGGGGGAGGGGGGGATGTTGGTCAGTGTCAGGCTCTCTTCATGCGGGAGGGGGGTGTTGGTCAGTGTCAGGGTCTCTCCATGGGGGGGGGGAGCCTATTTTTTGTGTTGTCTAGGGAAGCACAAAACCTAAATACACCGTTGGATGTATACTATGGAAGCAGATGCTCCATATTCTCAGTGGTAGGAGAGGAGAGAAAGAAATTTGAAATGCCCACGGCTTTCTCTCCTTTCCTTGCAGGGATGACAGTTCGGGCTAGATGTACTGATCTTATTTCCTGAGGCCCTAAAGTGCCAGGACAGTACAAATCCCCCCAAATGACCTCTTTTTGGAAAGCAGACAGTCCAAGGTATTTAGTAAGATTTATACATGGAGATCATATCCCCCCTTATGTATTATACATGGAGATCATATCCCCCCTTATGTATTATACATGGAGATCATATTATACCCCCCTTATGTATTATACATGGAGATCATATCCCCCTTATGTATTATACATGGAGTATTATATGGAGATCATATCCCCCTTATATTATTATACATGGTGATCATATCCCCCCTTATGGTACATGGAGATCATATCCCCCCTTATGTATTATACATGGAGATCATATCCCCCCTTATGTATTATACATGGTGATCATATCCCCCCTTATGTATTATACATGGTGATCATATCCCCCCTTATGTATTATACATGGAGATCATATCCCCCTTATGTATTATACATGGAGATCATATCCCCCTTATGTATTATACATGGAGATCATATCCCCCTTATGTAT